CGCCTTGCCTCTTCCTTTCTTCCCGCCCGTCCGAGCGGGACCGGGCTGGAGAAGCCCCTCCTGACGGCCCTGCTCACGATGGTGCTCGGCGGGCGGCTGCGGAGCGGAGGCAGAGGCGGTGAGTGCCGGAATGGGGAGCCCCCGCTGAGAGAGGTGGGGGGAGCTCGGAGCAGCCAGGCGGGAAAAGTGTGAAACCCTCCCGTTCCCCGTCCCCTCTCATGTCTCTGCCCTCCGAAATAACGGGGGACCGAAAAAGTTGGGGTCCGGGCCGAACGGAAAGAGGGGGGCGATCCAGGAAGGCATCCCTTCCCGGCGAAGGGATTCCCTCCTACACACCCCTTTTCTCCTTCACATCCTGCTTTCTTGCCGTCAGTGACAAATGTTATTCACGTGAAGGGAAGCTATGGGATTTCAAAGCTGATCTGCTGATTTGGGCTCAGCCGTGGGCCTCGTTAAACACACACGAGCGAGGGGCCGTGGTGGATCCACAGCGCGCTGTGTGTGCCCTGAGCATCGCACGGCACAGGCACGGGGGGGTCAGGGAGCGGGGACAGTCAGTCTAGTGTCCCCCCGGCATGGAATCGGCATCAATGCTGTCGGAACGAGGTGGTGAGCGCATTCCGGTCATCGCCTGCGATCTGACGGTCTGGACTGGGAGAGGATGGGCCACAGCCTGCGCCGGGGGACAAGGTTCGGTTCTGTCTTCTCCCGCACAGGGGTGTGAAAAGGGGGCTCTGATGTCCTGTAGGAGTCGAGGGAGGTACGGTGACAGCCCTCCATCCCGCTTTAAAACTGTGTTGCCCTGGTGGCCAGACCTCCCCAGGTCCCACAGCACGGCAACCGAGGAGCAGCGGTCTGGCATCGCCCTGCCTCTGTTTCTAGATTGCCCTGTTGCTACTGAAAAGATGGGGAACAGGAGTTCTGTGTGCTGTCAGGGCACGGGTATCTGCGTGTCTGCCCTGCTGGATGTCCCGCGGCTGGGACGGGCTGCCCGCTCAGCCCTCCTCCTTGTCAACAGGCGTGTAAGCATCCCATCTGCGAGGTTTTGACGAGCATGCTGGTGTTCCGGCTGGGGGGTTCCGGCAGCGCTGGGACCGGCGTCAGCAGCACTGTCCGTCTGTCCGTCCGTCCCTCGGCGCGGTGCGGTGCAGTGGGGAGACGCGGTGCCGCCAGTGAGGGAGTGGGACGAGGACAGCGATATGTTGTACAGGGCAAAAATGAGCGAGAACCGTCGTTCTGGTGTCAAAATAGTCATCGCGGTTCCGGGTGTTACCAGAACAGAAGAACAGCACCCTTTCCTGAAGGACAAGTGGACAAAGGCCGCCACCACGTCTATCCTAGAACCTCTGCAGCCCGTCGGTTCTGTCGCTCCTTCTAATCCTTATTTCTCCGCCGTGCGAGTGAAAGCGGCGCTCAGATAACATGCTCAGTCCTTTGCCTGAGATACCTACGCTGAGAAAAACAACTGGAAATTTTTATCCTATTGACGAGCGGAGAAATTTACACTCGGGTTTTACTACCTGGGAGATGTAGCCGAGTTTTGTGTATTTCCCTCCGTGTGCATCACTGGCACCTCTTGGCACGGCAGATAAAACACGCGAGGGGAAGGCATGTCAAGCGTCATTTTACAACTGCCTTTAGCGGCAAAGCTACTTTTAAATTTAAATATTTTAAGTACAGGAGCCCAGAGCGCCCACTGGGAAAAAAATAAAATTAAAATAATATTAAAAAAAAAAACAAACCACCAAAACCTCAACACACACAACATATCCTGTCCTTATATTTCTTTCTGAAGTCATTTCCTGGAAGTGCAGAAGAAACGTCCTGTGAGAGACAGACGGGTAAGTTTTCTATCACAGACGTTTATGTCTTCTATCACAGACTGTTGAGATATGAGAAAACTACAGATTCCTAAGAGAAGAAATAGGAAGGCAATTATAGAAAGGCATCGTCTTGCAGAAAGTTCGGCTAATGAACTACCAAAATCGAAAAAAGACCGAAAAAAAGAAAAAAAAAAAAAGAAAAAAAAAGAAAATCTGAAAAAGGAGGGGTGGTTATCCAATCAAACACAACCTCTAACTTCTCGGAAGTGCATCTTCTTCCTGACAGCCTACTGCGTTTAGAGCTCTTCACTCCATTCGTGGTAAAAATTGCATAAAAATTGCATTTCTGTGACATAAAACTTTCGTTTTCGTTACTTTCATAAAAGAGGAAGGGAGAATCGGGGGAAGATAAAAGCTTCCTACGGTCGCTGACAAGAGCTTCCGAGAAAAAGATCTTCCCATGCAACGCCGGTACAAATTCAATACTGCAGGGAGGAATACCAAAATATTGTCGTTCCCTGAGATATTGCAGTCCCCTCGCTCCGCCCCCCGCGTTTCGTAAGCCTGACTCCTCTTCAGACTAGAGAAGACACAGACAGACACCGTATTTTGATCCCGGCAAACAACATGCGAAGCACGGTGTGGGGAGGGGAAGGAGGCGACAATTACTGCACCCCACCCCCTGTGGGGAGGATGGTGGAGGAGTAGAGACGGGGCAGAAAGCCGAGAGTGATGCCTGTCACCCTAGGGATGCTCAACCTGCAGAGCATCCTTCTTCCCACTAGGTATCTCTCTCTACTTTTTTTTTTTCAATTTATTTTTTTAATTATTACTTTTTAAATTTTTTTGGAGCGGAGTCCGTACGCGGCGGCCAGGGGTATCATTAGGAGAGCTCTGGAAGGAGGCTCGGTGCGGGTCGTGCACCGAGACCGGGCGGGCTCCGGGAGATGGCGCTGGTCCCCCGCCGGATGAGGGGTGCGGGGCTCGGGGCAGCCGGGCCGGGCAGCCGCGGGCGCTGGGCCGACCCCACGGAGCTGGATGTCCTCCCTGCTCCTCCTTCCCGCCTGCTTCTCCCCTCTCACAGCTGGAGTCCGGCCTGCCCAGGAGTTGCAAAAGGGGCGGGGAGAGGGAGGTAAACATGAGCTTCGCGCCTGCAGACTGAATTTAAAATCAAATCAAAACATGAAAAGGCCATGAAACGGGGTGGGTGGGAATGGTGGGACGGCGAAGACACAAAACAACAACAGCAGCAACAAAAACAAACAAAAAAACAATCAAGAAAAACTACCAAAAATTAACCCATTCACTCTGCTGCTAGGGACCGGATTCACGGGAAACAACGAAATAACCGTGCGTTTCAAGCCTTGTCTTTCCGATGACTTATTTTACACCTAGGCATTAACTGGATAACTACGTAACTATAATAAAAGAGCAGAAACGGCATCAAGGAAACCTGGCTCATTCTTCTTCAGCCCGTGCTGGAAGCCAAAACCATGCCTTGCACGGGGTCAGCTGCTCTGCCCGGTCATCCCGGGCTGGAGCTGAAGCTGGCGTTCTGCATGCCAGCCAAAACACAACTAACAGAGAGTTTGCTGTGCTTCAGCCTCTGGAAACCTCAACATTTACTGATCATATGAATTCCGAATGAAAGAAACACAATTTCCGCCCCCTCTTCTGCTGCTCTTCTTGATTTCTGCCTTTGTACCCCTGATAAGGAGATATGTTCTTAATCGCAAAAAAACGGGCATGGGCTTTTTATTATTATTTCCAGAGGAGATACACCGTGAGGGTATACACGCATTGGAAGCTTGTGTGTAAAAAATTAGATTTTTTTTTTTTTCTTTTCATGTATGCAGAGGAGAAAACTCTAAATTCTGGGGTTTTTTCTCTTAAGGGAAAAGAAAAAAAAATGTCATGCCAAACTTCAATTATTTCACCAAATATTATCTGTTTGACATTCTATATTTTTTCATTTTAATTTTTCAGTCTTGCAGGAGAAACAAAAAATATGTAAGAACAAAACAGAAAGAGAAAAGAAAAAGAAAAAACAAATTGGGGATAAAAGACCTTCTACTATGCCTACAGTACCTGCACCTCCACTTTTCTAAAAAATTATGCTTATGTGTAGAAAGAACAATATGCAGCTCGGATTATTTACATAGAGTACAACAAGACAGGGATGAAGAGAAGTGGAAGAAAATTTAAGTGTAATATGCTGAGTATTGTGTTTAGAGAAGAATAAGTGTCAAAAGCGTTGGTGGGGAGGAATAAAAGGGATGATGGTGGAAAATGAATGAGAATATGGAGAAACGGATTTATTTCAGGCATTTATTATTTACAAGACAACACGCCGTCTCATCTCCGTAGCCGCCGCAGCAGCCGCCTCAAGTCTGAGCATTATTAGCGCCGTTTTGTATTCATTTATTTATCTATCCTTGGACGAGAATCCAAGAAATCGCCAACTACGGTGGCATTTTGATCACCTTGGATGATCCGCGCGGATGCGCAGCGGAACACAGGCACCCCTGTTTTCAGCAGTAAATCCGATATTGGGCAGAGAGTGGGGAATGAGTCTGCGGGGCGGCTGGGGCGGGGCGGGGGCTGTGTTTACTGTTCCTGTTCCACCCGTTGTGTTCGAGTGTCAGCTGTCTGCGGTCTGGGGGGAGACGAAGCTCTCGGCTGCTGCCCGTGGCCGCGGCAGAGGAGCAGGCGGGGAGGGGGAGGTGTGCGCTGCCCCCGCTCCAGCCCCAGGGTTTGTACAAAAGGGGCGGCTGTGCTTCGTGGGGTCGCCGTGCAGTAACGCGGGGCGGGGAGGAGGAAGGAGGAGAGGGAGGGATGCTGCCAGGCGGACCCGCCGCATCCCGCCGGGGGTGCTCCGGGTACCCCTGGCCCGCCGGGGCCCGCGCAGCCACCGCGGGGTGCGGGGGACGATGCGGGATGCACCGCGGGGACGGACGGACGGACAGACGGACAGACGGATAGAGCCAGGCTGACTTTTGGCTGCCTCTCCGCACACGCTAAGGCGGCTCCGCAAGGGAGCGACAGTCCCTCGTGTGCTCATTAAAAGAAGGCGTGGGCGGGGGACGGGCAGAGCCGCGGCAGGGAGTCCCCGGCACTAGCTATTGGTAAAAATGCGTAGAAATGGTGCTTCCTTAGTGGATTGCTGCTGTATGTGGTTAGGTAAGAGCCAATCTGATGGATGGCCGCGTCGATTGCCGTTTTGGGAGAGTGTTATTTTTGTACACGTTTTACGTGTAGGCACGTGACTATTTTTTACTGGGTGATATATCAGAGTAGGGCTTGCAAAACTGAAGCCAGAAGTAGCGTTGGAAATAACGTAAGAAAAGACAAAGAATAAAAGTATACTTATGGTGAAACGGGCACAGAATAAGAGACACTCCACTCTTTATTTAAAAAAAAAAAATACATGCTTAACTGTCTTTGGGGAGGGCAAACTTTTCCCGATACGTCCATTCAGGTAAGTCATTCATAGTGTAATTATCCACTCATGCACTTGAGCTTTTGAAAGAGAAAAAAAAAAAAATGAAAGGGCGTTTTGGGTTTTTGGTTTGGTTTTTTTTGGACTAGCGTTGTTCGTTTATTAACAACATTCCTGGGCTTTAAAAACAGAGCACTCTTCTGGTTTTACTATTTAAACTACTCTTCTTTCTTCTCATTACCCGTTAAGGTAAACTGAAAGTTGCTAATAGTGTTTGTCATATAATTCAAGGCCTATGAATTTTCGGATAAAGCAGGTGTGAGACTACAAGCAGTATTTAAAAAAAAAAAAAATCTAAGCCCTTTTTTATTAAGAATTAGGCACTGTATTCAAATATGCACATGTTAAAAAACTGTTTGTCACACGTTTAATAATGCAGCACCTAAGACAGAAACTACAAAATGTCTTCCTCGAGGAAACCTTTCCGTACATGGCTCTGCATATTTTAAGGAAAGATTTTGAAATAAAAGATTCCTGAAATAAAGGCAGATACAAGTGCAATTAGAGGTCGCAAAACAGCAATAAAATCTTTTAAGTCCGTATAAAAAGGCCCCATTACACCCCTTATCTATATTGTCTTATACCTTAAAATGGGGCAGAATGGGAAGGGCGTGTTGGTGATTTCTAAAATTTGGTTTTCTTAATATGAAGTTAATTAGACAATCAAACTTCCAGTCTCCAGTTAGCAGTGTGATAACTGAGCAGGGTAATTACACCCTCCTGCGTTTTTAATGTCCAATAAACATCTCGTGCACCTTGATTTGTAAAACTGGCGCTTTACACAATCTATAATCTTACACGGAACAGAAGCATGGAGAAAACTGGATATAAAGACATTTACACTGCAGAGTCTCACCAAAACACGGAAGAATACGAAGAGGGAGGGGAGGGAAAGGGCAAGTATATTTAAAGAGCTAGAAGGGAGGAAGTAAAGGAAAAGTGATAGGCTGAGACTTTCAGTAAATTAAAACAGTGCAAATATACCTTACACATGCATCAGTATTAAAAGTAACACACGCTGGAGCCAGCAGGAGCAGGAGGAGCAGAAGAGAATGGCGCGACGGTGGATCCCGGCTCACACACCTCGGCCGCCCGCGCCAAAACGGGCTCTTCGCTTATTTCAGGGATGTTTTTTTGTTGATGATTATGATGATATTTGGAAGAAAAGGGGAGCCTCCCCTAATTAGGATCTTCCGCAAATAGGGACCATCGATCCCGGAATCCGCGGTCTCTTCTCCGAGCAGGGGGATTTTCATATTCCTTTCTTCTTCTTCTTTTTGTGCCCTACTTTCCTTAATGTGTGTGAGTGTAGACGGACGTGCAGAATGCCTTCAGCTGACGTCAGCAGACGCGACCTCTCGGCTAAGCCGTGAACGTGAAGCGGGGCTGGGGGGACTCGGGGCGAGGGCGCGGCCGCGGGGATGCTCCGTGCTGTTCCGCGGGCGCGCAGGCTCTCCACCGCGCTCTGCCCCATGGAATAAGCTCTGGCAGCAAGAGCAGCGCTGCCCAGCCCAGCACTTGGCCCCAAAAGGAAGCCGACCTCACTGCAGCATAGCCGAGTCCGTCCAGCCTTTTATATCTTTTTTATTTCCATTTTTTGTTATATATCTGTATATATGTGTATGTATATATATGCAGTAGTGAGGGTATTTGGACGTTATTTTCTGCTCCCTTTCATCAGGAGACGAGCGGAAAACAGAAAGTCCCAAGCAATTTTAAAAGACAATAAGAAAATCGCCCCCTCTCCACCCAAAAAGTGGCACGGCAGAGGGCGCAGCATTCATCCGGGCACAGCTCTGTAGCGCATCCCCGGCGCGGGGCGCGGGGAGAGCAAATGAGGCCAAGGTAGGCTGGCGGCCGGAGGAGTGGGGTGACCCTCATCTCGGGCCGGCGGTCTGATCTGCAAGTCCAAGCCGCTCTCACGGCTCTCAAGTGATGCCTTCTCCCTCCACCGGGAGGAGACACGGTGTGAGCGGGGATTCGGCGCGCTGCAGACACCGAGCTGGCGGGGAGTAGGTTACAGAGTTAAATCCTCCTCTTTCCCTTCCCCCACTCCTTCTGCAGACTCTGCCGTGTGTCGTGATGTTTGGGAGAACTTTCAGTTCCTGGGGAACTTCAGACGGCAAGGCAGCACGGTGAGATGCGGCCGGAGGCTCAGAAACGAGAGGTAGTCTCTGTTAGGACCAGAGTTTCTCTCCTTTTCCGCTGATATTATTTACACTTTTGTCAGCCTTCTATAAGCCGTTCCAGAGCACCTCTGTGAACATTGGCACAGCTGTTCCTAGGGCTGCACACCGCATACTCACGCACGGCTTCTCCCTTCAAGCATCTCAACTAAACTTAAATGCCCTCTCCAGGAAGCGGAAACGTGAGTGCATTTCTGACCGGGGGAGCGGTGCCGAGCCTCATAAATCAATTTTTTTTTTTTTTTTTTTGCACAGTCGGGCACTCGTGCTGAATTCCCTCGGTTCTCTCGGGGCTGGCGTTTAGATCCTCACAGAGCTCTTTTTGTCCGCCGGGTCTCCGAGGGCTGTGCCGGCAGGGAATGCCCGTCTGCTCCAAGCTGCTGCGGGGCTCTCCCCGCGGAAACATTCCGCGGAAGTCTGGGGCTGGGAACGGCAGAGAGCCTTCCCTCTCCCAGGAGCTGAGCTCCGGGCTCGACAGACGCCTGTTACCAAATCTATATAAATATATATGGATGGATGCATACATATGCACACATGTGCCGGGGCATCTGTAGGGTATATATATGTGTATGCATATATTTAGTAATTTTTCAGCGTCGGCCCTCCCCCCGCCCGCCTCCCCNCTTGACAGCTGTCCCCACGGAGTGCCGTGTGTCGCCGACCCGAGTGAGGGGCCAGCGCCACATCGGCCCCCCTCAGCCGCACCCCACACGCCCCCCAGACAGGGGGACGAGCCGTCCTGCCGTCCCCTCGCCCCGCACACCTCCCTCCATCCCTCCTCCACCTCTCCCTCCCTCAGTGCACACCTCCCGTCCCGGCGCTACCGCCCAAACTTCTTCCCGCCGCCCCCGCGCCCTAAAACCTCGCCGGGGATTTACCCGCGTTCCCGCGCTGTTTCCAAACTCGGAGAGATGGATCAGAAGGGACAGAAGGAACCGGCAGCGCTTCAGGACACCCTCCTCCCACGGACGAGAGGTCACGCTACAAGTTCGCCTGACAGCCGGAATGGGAAGAGTGTTTTTGGTTAACACCGTTATTTTTCCTGATGTTTCTTGGTTTTGGTTTTGTTTTTCTTTTTAACTGCTGTTGACCGGCTGCTTGGTTTGGACAAAAGTTGCACAAATTATCAGTGCCCCCTAGAAAGAAGATTCAGATGAAACAGTTCTTCAGAAGTTAAGGAGGAAAACATCTTAGGAAACTCGACCTTTTGCTTCACTTTTTTTTACTTTTTTTTTTTTTTTTTTTTTTTTTTTTTTTTTTCAAGTTTCCAAAGAAATGCGAGCTTCCCTTGATCTCTAGGGGAAAAAAAAAAAAATAGCCATTGCCCTCCTGTACACTAGATATTTCTAATTCGCTCTGTCAGGGTGGGACTATGAGACGTTTTGGTGCAAATTCATTATCTCTGCAAGACATAACTTATAGTAGGAACTGAAAAAGACCGTGGCAATGGATGAACAATAGGGCTTCAGTTCATCAGCAACAAAAGCGCTGGGGAAATTGGTTGAATTTCAGAGCACGTCCTCCTCAGCAGAGAGGGCTGGACTAGACCTTGGCCAACCCCCCAAAAAACTTGCAGAACCTCACATACAAGAGTTCACTTTCTACTCTGGGGCATAGGAATCAGTGTGGAAAAACAAACAAAAAAAATAATGGCAGACCGAAGTCAGCTTTCTTCATGTCTTTCCCGTTTACATGAATGGAAGATTTTAAAATATTTTAGAGTCGTTGGAGCAAGAACACCACCATGGAGCTAAGGGGCACTTTTAAATAGGGATGGCGAGGGGAAACACGTGTATTTGTCGAGACCTGAAAGAACTTTTTCTGCTCCGTGGGGGCTTGGCCGTGGGAATCTTTGTTTTGTCACCGGAGGCTCAACTCACCCCCAGTATGTGGGGTAAAATCTTTCTCTGATAAAGGCGAAGATATGTAAGTACTGCAGTGTTTCTGTATGTGTGTGTTTGTCCTGAGCTCCCTGCAAAATCTGGGATGCTGAAGCCCGGGGAGACGGAGGTTTCCCGGGTCCCCGTGAGCCCGCGATGAGGCCGGCTCTCCCCGGGAGGCGGGAGAGGGTCTCCCAGCATAGATCCGGCTGCCTTCTCTCGCTCCAGGCGAGGGACACTGGGTGAAGAAGGCAGGGTTTATGGCTGCACACAGCGGCGTACGCCGGTTTTGTGCGTCCGATGCTAAACCTGTTGGTCGTACGGCTGTGTTTATTTGCGGAAAATGTTAATTATGTAGCAGACTGCCAGCGGATGCTGAGCTGTGGCTTCTCAGGGAGTTTTCTTGCAGTGCCTGGTTGCTCTCGGAAGGTGTGCAGGCACAAGGCTGCCTGGGAAATAATAATAATGACAATGATAATGTTTTAGCTGAGGCTGTTGTGATGGATATAATGCAATGAAAACCAGAAACTTACGTTGTATTTATCTCCCCCCGTGGCCCTGGATAAACTCGCAGAGCTGTAAATAGAGACTATGCTTTCCTGGTAATTCCGGTTTCAGGACATCATCAGTCAGGAACATGTGGAAAATCTGGCGGGGAAAGGCTGGCATAATATGTTTTGCATATTTTGAACTGAAGGCTAGGTGGAGCCTCCAACCTTTATTAGTGGCAGCTTATAATATACAAATCCCAGATCTGCCTCTGTAGTTTCTGTCCCTTCTGTTCAGCAGCCCCAAATAATACTTTTAGCCTTTTATTTTCAAGTGTAATTCTCGAGAAATAATGATGCCGTTAAAATGTATATGTATTATATTATTTATACTATTTCCTGTAAGTATTGATTACAGTCTTTAACCCTGTAGATCCAGGAATATATCACTCATATCTGTTTTGTGTCATCTTAAATCATCTGCAGGAAATGTGGCTAGTTTTTTGCCACCTTTAATCTAGGGACGAGTGTTTTGGTGATTTATCTAATAATCCCAAAAGTATTCATTACCTTAAAAATATTCATTGCCTTGTAATCACATAGATTTTTCCACTCGCATATATTTCTGGAAGAAGGCATTTAAATTATGATCCTTTGCTTTTTGTAGGGCTATTTTTCAGGTTTAAACAACGCAGACAGACCACAGGTAGTAACAATTGCGACAAGAAATGGTAATTTTTGTTTGTTTGTTTGTTTAATAAAAGACAATATTATAAACATTACCGGCAGAATAGATGTCCTTTAATGCACACGGTTTCCACGTGTAATCACTGACTGCGGGTTTGATTTATTTTTCTGTGACTTTGAATTCTTGACACTCTGTCTTTTCCTATTTCTGAATTTAAATTTGTACTAGATATCCGTTTCCATACTCTGTATTTAATGTAAGCGAAGTATAACCTTCAGTTGCCTGTAAAATGGAATTGCGGTCAGAAAAGAAATGATGAAGCACCTTCTCTAGAAGGCGAGACAGTCAAGTGACTTACCTGGATGTGAGAAAAGGGATGCTGCTCTGCAGGGAAAAAAGGCTTCGACTGTGCTGGCATGCCATAATGTTTACCTCTACATGAATTTTCTACATAATTTTGTGCAAAAAGGGGTTTTATGTAACACTACACCCCTCTTACATACGTCACAGCAACTAAAGTGGGGTTCCTGTATGTCCTCCCGAAGAAGGTGAGGCTGCTGGAGATAGGGTGGGAGTCTGATTAATAATTAATTATAATTAATATAATTAATAATTATTTTAATATAATATAATTAATAGATTTAATTATAAAATTAAAATACATATAAATATTACCTTAATTAATAAAATTAATAATTATAATTAATATCATTAATAATTAATTACTAATTAGAGAATCATAAGCATTCCTCTTTAAAGTCAATAAGAGACGGTTTGCTCTTAAGAAATCCATACAGGATATTTTTGGGAGCTAGGTGGAAAATGTCAGCGTTTGTATTCCATAACTTCCAATAGGTAGGTATTTCTACAGACACTAAGTTAAATCTCATAAAATTATGTAAACTGAAGGAGAGTGGGCAGTGTTAACAGCTGCTTTTGGCAATCCAAGTGATGTTTTGGACAGAATTTTCACAACTGTGCATTGCTTAATCTTTCGACATGCTAGGCAACACTGCAGTTTTAGAAAAGTGCTTTACAACTGCTGCATGTATTTGTGTGTTCAGAATAAGCAAATACTTAAACAACTCATGATAATGATGAGGCCCTTGATGTCTGAGAGCTAGAAAATGCAACTGGTAACAAGTCTAATGAACAGATAGGTCATAACCATCACATTGCCTCTTTTGATGTGCTTAGGCTACAGTGATTAATCAACAAAATACGTCAGGTGTATTGCAGTTCCTTCCCAAGTTAGTGCATAAGCAAGGTGGCTGTAAGAGAGCTCTGTGTTTTAGAGATGTGTTTTGTGTCTTTGAAAAAAGGCCAATATGCAATAATGTACCATGCATTTAAATCTGGTGCTGTGACAGCTGGTGACATGCATGCATTTAACATGTAGGTGTGCTTCTGTGTTAATATGGATTACATATACACATATGTACTTATGCACTTGTGAATAAGCACAGATGCACACACACACATACACGAGCATCACCTGTAATTTCATGCCTCTGACTGAAAGAATTTAATGCATAAGCTCACAAGCCTGTCCTGTGCAACATAGGCTTGCTCACCAACAATACTGCCCCTAGCTATTGCCATAAAAAAATATCTTTCACCTATCTGCCAACTCAGAAAAAGTCATATAAACTCATTAAAACTTTATATAATAATCAAAGTGTTCATGTGCCTCTGATTGCATCAGACATCAGATTCAGTTGCCCCTGTTGTGCCTGAATAGACCAAGAGATAATGAGGAACCTCAGTAAATCATAATGCAGCATTATAAAAATTCTAACCATTTTCTGCAAGGTTCTAAATTTTCCACAAAGAGCACTGGCACAATTAGGTCTTATGTATCCCAGGTAAAAAGCACCAGGGGCAAAAAAAGCAGTCCATACCAGGACTGTTTAAAACAGAAGTGCTTAGCTTCAAAGTCTTAGAATCTGAAAACACAAGCAAATTAGTTATATCCCTGCTGGATTCAGATTTAGCAGGTAGCAGATTAGCAATGTCTGTGTGCTGCTTCTTGGTGGCAGTATTAATTTTGTGCCATGTCTGACAAATGGGACCGTTTCCCCATTTTCATGCTTCTGTAATCGCAATAAAAATGGGCTTGTTGATACAGTTGTTGTTTTACAGTGTAACCACATGCACCTGCATATATATTTTAGCACAAGCACAGAGACATGCACCTAGACTGACACATGTACCTATGGCTCCCCTGTGCACACAAGGGGACATAATATTTATCAAACAATCAAGCTCTGTAGCCAACACAGAACATCAACAACTTCAGTTTAACCCTTTGAATTTAAAAAAAAAAATCCACCTAAATAACAGCAATGTATGTGAGTGGAGGTTCATTTACAAACAAATGTACTTAAATGCAGTGTGGCCTATGGACTGTGATTGTAATTGGACATGTGATCTATTTTGCAGCTTAGAAGAGTAGCAGCATGATTTTTAGCCTGTTATTCCTTTAGGAGTCCTGAGCAGTCCATAGTCTGCCTGTGATGATTTTTTTGGTGTGTATCTTATACTGAACACAATACACAATAGCTGTTGAAGTGCATTTATTAATTTCAACTGTAAACATGGTAGATCACAGTAAGAAGGTTGGTTTTATCGCATACACTCGAGAGATCTTTAACGTTTGCACCTAAGAAAATTCTATACAGATGGTATTGTTAAATAATTCAAAGTACAGTGTTCTTTTAGTGGGTGGGG